ACCACCCCTGGACATGAAGGAGTCTGAGGGCAAAGCAGTTGCCCAGCCTGGGTCTTGCTGGTCAGGACCTCAGATTTTTGCCTAAGACAGGTAAGCCTGCAGGAACTTCCACTACCACCACCACTACCACCCACCAAGGATAATGAATACTTTGATTTTCACTGCCTCCCCGCAGGTCCTGCTGGGATTCCTCATTGTCTGGACCCACTCAGATGCAGAGGGAGAGGCCAGCCTCCAGAGGCCACTTACCGCGGCCCAGGCCAGAGTCCCAGTGAAGTCTCCCAGAAAAGTCGCAATGAGTCTCAGCAGTTGACAGTGAAAGAATCCTGACTTAAACACTGGTCTGAAAATTTTTCATGGCCTAAGTGGAGATGTGTCTCAAGTGGTAGAGTGTCAGCCAAGAGAGACTATCATGGCCCTGAGTTTTGTGCCCTAGTATGGGCACAAAAACAAAACAACTTCATGGGGCTGGGTATGTACGTAGCTTGGTTTGGTAACAGAACACCTGCTTAGCATGGGAGAGGCCCTGGATTTGATCCCTACAATATTCCTCCTTCAAAACTAAAGGGGAACAAAATTCAGTGTGAATATGTTGGGCCTTTCAACTGCGTGCTGGTGGCTTACGCCTATAATCCTAGCAACTGGAGGATCATGGTTCAAAGCCAGCACAGGCAGGAAAGTCCTTGAGACTCATCTCCAATAAACTCCCAGAAAACCGGAAGTGGTGCTGTGGCTCAAGTGGTAGGGTACTAGCCTTGAGCTAAAGAGCTCAGGGACAGCGCTCAGGCCCAGAGTTCAAGCCCCACAACTGACCAAAAAAAAAAAAAAAAAGCCGGGCGCTGGTGGCTCACGCCTATAATCCTAGCTACTCAGGAGTCTGAGATCTGAGGATCGCGGTTCAAAGCCAGCCCGGGCAGGAGAGACCGTGAGACTCCTATCTCCAATAAACCACCAGAAAACCGGAAGTGGCACTGTAGCTCAAGTGGTAGAGCACTCGCCTTGAGCTGAAGAGCTGAGGGACAGCGCCCAGGCCCAGAGTGCAAGCCCCACGACCGACCAAAAAAAAAAAAAGTTAGGCCTTTCACAAAAGAATAGTGAGCACAGCTAACTGGCTGTGAGGAGGGCTCAGAAGCAAGCTCAGGATTTGCCGTCTGAGACCCACCCAGGATCACCTGGCAGTGTAACCTTCCACAGAGTGAGCCTAGGACCTAGACACTGCTGGATCCTGCCCCAACTTCATTTCTTTTCTTCCCATCGAAGCCTGGCACAGTACAAGGTCTTCAGTTAGATTGACGTCACATGCCTTCCATAGAACGCAAAGGTAGCTGTGGAAGCAAGTCCCCACCTACATTCTAGTTGGGAGGGGCACCCCCCAAACAAGGCCAGAGGTTTGCCATGCTGGGTAACAAATGATGCCAAGCCAGTTTTTCAATATGCTGGAGTAGTTCCTTCAGACAGTCTCCTCAAAAAAGGACTAAGAACTCTCAGTATGTACTGCCAAATGTCTGTCCCAGGAGTTTTATTCCAACCATATCCAGCCAACACAACACCTGCTTTGCCATGTGTACTTTATCATCGAAAAACTTTAAAACTAATTTAATAGGCAAAATATGATTGATAACCTCAGAGTAACTTTCTCCTCTGTGTTCCTGTATTTGTTCCTTAGTGATGTTCTTCAAACATTTCCTGGTACTTGTCTTTTGACATTTTATTGTTTGGGTGACTGATTTTTATTAGTTTTGTTTTTGTAGCTTTGTACTAAAATTAGCTTCATTTGCTAAAAGAAGAGATTAGGATTAAATTCAGCTGTGTATTACAGGGAGTGGTGGGGTAAAGGTATTAAACTAGATAATGGCTTCTTTCTCTTCCACATAAGAAAGGCTTGGGGAAGGGCAGTCCAGGACTGATCTTGGACCCACTTCACAAAGTCAGGGGCAAGTGATCCAGGTCTTCCCAATCATCCCTCTGTCATTCTCTCATGAGGCTTCATACCCAAATCCAAGATGTCAGCCACCACGTCCAAGGGAACAGCAGAAAGAATGAAGGGGGACAAGCCAAACCCTTTAAATCACTTCCGTTTTTGCATACCATTAGCCAAAATTCATATGTATGAGCTTGCCTAGCCACAAAGAAGACAAGAAACCAGCTAAAAGTCAGTATTTTTCTGGGTGCTGGTGGCTCATCCCTATAATCTTAGCTACTCAGGAGGCTCAGATTTTAGGGTCACAGTTCCAAGCCAGCCAGGCAGAAAAGTCTATAAGATACCTTTCTCCAGTTAACCACCTAAAACAGAGGAGCCAGCAGGAAATGGAGGTGTGGCTCAAGTGGCAGAGTGCCAGCCTTGATTGAAAAAGATAAATGAAAGTGACAGGCTCTAAGTTCAAGCCCCAGTACACGCACCAAAAAAAAAAAAGATAAAAAAGAATGGAAGTAGAGGAGTACCCAACTATATCTTATATAGACAAGGCTAGAAGTCATGTTTAAGACAATACTTTCCTATTAAAAACAATCATGTTAGCTGGGTGCTGATAGCTCACTCCTGAAATCCTAACTACTCGGGAGGTTAAGATCTGAGGATCGTGGTTCAAAGCCAGCCCAGGCAGGAAAGTCTTTGAGACTCTTATCTCCAGTGAACCACCCGAAAACCAGAAGTGGCACTGTGGCTCAAGTGGTAGAGCTCTAGCCTTGAGTTGAAGAGCTGAGGGACAATGCCCAAGCCCAGAGTTCAAGCCCCACGACCGACAGAAAAAAAAACAAACCACAATCATGTTTATGATGATGATGCTGACTAATCTTTGTTAAATAATACCACCATATATTTAGATAAAATTTGTGGGAAGCTATTGATCTGCTGAAATTAAGCTCTTACACTGAACCCAACTGATGAAATTAACATGAAGTTGAACCACTATTTGATTTCAAGCTCACTACAAGAGGCTCTGTAACCAATTAATCAATTAAGCTGAAACTAATTAAGTGGTCTGTGCACTACACTTTTGTTTCCCATCAAATCTATCAGATCATCTCATTGGTGGGAGCTCTCAGAATTTGCCCTGGCTCTGGGGACAGCCCAGTTCACAAATCATTTTTTGTTTGGTTGGGGTTGCTTTGTTCTGTTTTGGTTATAATTACTCAAATAATCTCGGCTGACTTTAATTAGTCTAAGATTTTTTTTCTTTTGACAATAATTGTGGGTACTGTTCTTGGCCCTGCTATCTGTGATTTAATCCTTACCCCACCCTTGTACAGCAGACAAAGTGATTACTACACTCATTTCACAGAGCAAGAAATTGAGGCACCGAACTCATGGAAAGAAGAGGTAATTTGTCCCAAGGTCACCCAGTAAACAGGTGGCAGAATCTGGATTTGAACGCAGCCAGCCCCAAGGCAAGACATAACATGAACAGCTATCAGAGAAGCAAGTCCAGGAGGTGGAATGGGGTTTACCTGCTAACTCAGGAATGAAGAGTGGGGGCTTAAGGCAGGGCTGTGAATACTTTAGCTCATGCTCTGTCACTGACTACATTACATTTGCAGTTCACTCCAGGCAGATACTGGATCCCAGTAGCCAGCATAAGGTACTTGTTCTCGGTGAATAGATGTATCAGGCTTCCTTGATGCCAGGCTGTAGGATTGGTGCTGAGTGAGAAGAAATGAAAAACATAGATACTGCCCAATGACATTCATGCCAAGAGACAAGCAGGGGGACATGACAGGGAACAGCACAGACAGTCATGGGGATCTGCTGGCCAGAAGTTTGGTGTGGTTGGACTGTAGAGAAGCAATACAGGGATAAGGTCCTGAAGCTGGGCAGAGCCAGACTTGAAATTCTTCTCAAGTCCATGGTGAAAGTTTTGGCCTCGAATGGGAAGCCATTGGAGGCTTAAGGAAGGGAGGACACATGGTCCGAGCCCACCGAGGACAGCTCTTCCAGTGCTTCCAGAGGATGGGAGGACAGAGAGAGGACACAGAACTCTGTGAAGGCAGATGCCAGTGGCACATGCCTATATCCTACCCCTCAAGAGGCTGAGAACTGAGGATGAAAGTTCAAAGCTAGCCCAGGCAGGTAAGTCCATGAGATAGATCTCCAATTAACCATCAAAAAGCCAGAAGTGGAGCTGTGGCTCAAGTGGTAGTGTGCTAGCCTTCAGTGAATAAACTAAGGAACAGTTTCCAGGTCCTGAGTTCAAGCCCCAGTACTGGCACAACAAAACAAAATTTAAAAACCCTCTGTGAAGACAATGGAGCAAGAAGAGAAGAGGGGCAGCAAGGATGGAAGGAGGCAGACAAAAAGAGTGATGGGCTCAGGTTAGAGAAAGATGGAGAATTGGTTCAGAGGGCCCCAGAGAGAGCTTAAGGGGTTTGGAAGGAGGGAGAGGTGGGGCAGGAAGAAACAAAAGCAGCCCAGATGGGCCAGGGAACTGTGAGAGGGGAATGGAAGGGGCCTGAAGTAGCCCCAGCAGAGGAGTGGGGGGAGGGGGGAGAGAAGGGGACTGGAGAGGACCTGGCTTGAGTTGGGGCAGACAGAACAGTTGGCCGCCTGCAGCCTTGTGCTCATGGCTCAGAAATGTCCCAGACCTGCCAGGAGACGGCCTGGCCCCTGCAGCCCCTGCCCACCAGCCCAGACTGCTCACATCAGGAGCTCCAGAGCTGCACCGCCCCCTACTCTTCTGCCTTTGGAATGGGGCTCCCTCCTCTAAACCCAGGAACACCCTCTAGGCTGATGAAACCCAGGCCAGGACAGGAGAGGGAGAGAAGAAACAGATATTTGCAGGCAGGGGGTATCAGGAAGCAGGAAGGGTGGGCTGGGGCCAGCTTGGGGGTGCCAGGGGCCTGTGGGAGTGGGATCCAGGGAGTAGTCACAGCCAGCAGGGAGTTAATGTCTGGTCTGCAGTACTTTGCAGACAGGCCTAATGAGACCCAGGTGGTCCCCTGGCCCCTGACAGTGTAAGCCGATGCTGGCCGGATTGCTGGTAGTGTGTGGAGGGGGTTCTGCAGCTCTAGGGGCGGGGTTGGGCAGCAGGCCATGGGCCCAGCACATAACTCTGGGCGGCTGCTGTCTGAGGCCCGCAGACACCCAGCCGATCTGAGCAAACTGCCATCATGAAGGTACTGGGCCCAGGGTGGGAAGCTCCTGGCCTTGGGGGTATGAAAACCACTCATGGAGAGAAGCCACTTACCAGAGAGGGGATTGGGCAAGCATGGGCAGAGGGGAGGAGGGGGAATCTCTTAAGATCAGAGGGTGTTGGGTCTGTCCTAGAGAGTAGGGAAAGAGAAGATGGACCAACGGGCAGGAAAGGGGTTTTTAGCAAGGGGCACTATGCTTGATGCCACAATTGCCATCAAGCTACGGGTCTGGGCCGAGGGCTGTGCTGACCCTGTTTCCTGTCACCAGGCTCTCCTGGCCATGCCGCTGCTGCTGCTTCTCTCAACACCTCCTTGTGCCCCCCAGGCTTCTGGGATCCGGGGAGATGGTAAGCCCCCCTGCCACAGCCCCCATTCTCAGACACAGCTTGAGGAAGGAGGCTGGGTAAAGAGAGATCTATCTGAGAGCCAGGCCTTAGGGCTGACTCAGTTTCCTCCTCTAAAGTGAAAATGTAGGTGGATGCAGTCATCTTCAAGCACCATTTCAAAGAGATCTTGAGATGTCTCACGACAGAAACTCCTGGTTCCAGTGGGGGTACTGAGGTGACCCTTTTGTCTTTGTCCCCCTTTCATTGCTGTCCCCACCTCCAGCTCTGGAGAAGTCTTGCCTCCAGCAGCCTCTGGACTGTGATGACATCTACGCCCAGGGCTACCAGACAGATGGGGTGTACCTCATCTACCCATCTGGCCCCAGCGTGCCAGTGCCTGTCTTCTGTGACATGACCACCGAGGGCGGAAAGTGGACGGTGAGTGAGAGGAAGGGACGGATGCCAGACCTGTTCTAGTCCAGGCTGGGTGACCCTGAGCTTCACCTCTGTGAACCTGTTTCTCCTTTAAAATGTGTTTATTCAGGTGATGGTGGCTCACACCTGTAATCCTAGCTATTCAGGAGACTGAACAATCTTGAGGATCAAGGTTTGGAAGCCAGCCTGGGCAAGAAAGTCCATGAGACTCTTATCTGCAATTAACCACCAAAAGGCCAGAAGTGAAGCTGTGGCTCAAGTGGTAGAATACCAGCCTTGAGTGAAAAAAGCTAAGAGACAGTACTCAGGCCCTAAGTTCAAGCCCTAGTATCTGCCTAAAAATTAAAAAAAATAGAAAAGTGTGGTTATGCTCAAGGCATTGTTTCTGAACTAATTTTAAGTGCTTCAGTAGGCTCATGTGTGTGATCCTCACAATAATCCTAGAGGTAGGCACTTTGCAAAATGAAAAACGGAAGCCCAGAGAGTTAAAGTCATTTGATTCAGGTCACACAGCCAGATCCCTAAGCTTTTTATTTCATTTCTGGGAATAAAACATAGGGCCTTGGCTGGGAATGTAGCTTGTCTAGCATGCATGAAGCCCTAGGTTCGATTCCTCAGTACCACATAAACAGAAAAAGCCAGACCTGGCACTGTGGCTCAAGTGGTAGAGTATTAGCCTTGAGCAAAAGAAACTCAGGGACAGTGCTCAGGCCCTGACTTCAAGCCCCAGGACTGGCAAAACAATAACAACAACAAACAAACAAACAACAACAACAACAAAAGGGCCTTTGGGTTAGGGATTTAGTTCTGTGGAAGAGCACTGTCTGGCAAGTGCAAGGCACTGAGTTCAGTCCTTAACTCTGCAACAACACAAAAAACCTAGGGCCTCTTGCATGTTAGGCAATGTCCTACTGCTGAGCTCTGTCCCTCTCTTAACCTATCTACTCCTCAGCTGAACTGGTGAGGAGTCCAGCTAGATGCTAGTGTGAAGCAGCTACCTAGTGAGGGCCCGTGTGCTCTTGTTTTAGCAACTTTCCCTCCCCTCCTCTCAGTCATTTAACAAATTGGCCTTGGCATCATAGTGTCTAAGCTTGGGGGGCCAGGGTCAGGTGGGGCTCCTACCTGGATGGCCCTTGGTCATGTAGTTCCCTGTCCTCTTGTCTCCAGGTTTTCCAGAAGAGATTCAATGGCTCAGTGAGTTTCTTCAGGGGCTGGAACGACTACAAGCTGGGCTTTGGCCGAGCGGATGGGGAGTACTGGCTGGGTAAGGCAGGGGCCCAAGGTGGGCAGGGAACTGCCCCAGAGCCAGGTCTTTGTTAACCAGCTGTTACCTGTCCCTAGGGCTGCAGAACATCCACCTCCTGACACTGAAGCAGAAGTATGAGCTGCGAGTGGACTTGGAGGACTTCGAGAATAGCACGGCCTACGCCAAGTATGTGGACTTCTCCATCTCCCCCAACGCCATCAGCGCTGAGGAGGACGGCTACACCCTCTACGTGGCAGGCTTCGAGGATGGCGGGGCAGGTACCCCTCCTGTCAGTTTCTGCCGGGGCTGAGGGGGGGTGGGGTAGGGGAGAAGACTTGGCTGTCCCTGCCCAGTTGGTCCCAAACCCCTTCAGAACCCTCCTGGGCTTGGAAGAGCCACAAGCTGGCTCGAAACCAGCTCCAGCCAGTTTTTGCCTCCGTCCTTGGGAGCAGCCACCCTGGCCCTGCTCCAGGCAGTCCTGCAAAAGAGCAGCTGCTTCTCTTCATGGCGGAGGCCCAACTACTCAACATCTGGCTCAGGGACAGTGCCCTATCCTGCCAGGATGCCATGTGATGTCGCTCAGTGTCACTCATTACTGCTGTCACCCTGTCCCTGCCAGCATGGGGCTCAGTTCTTTGCCTCAGCTGTCCCGTCCTTCCTCCCCCTCTGCTAGGAGACTCCCTGTCCTACCACAGTGGCCAGAAGTTCTCCACCTTCGACCGGGACCAGGACCTCTTTGTGCAGAACTGCGCAGCCCTCTCCTCAGGGGCCTTCTGGTTCCGTAGCTGCCACTTTGCCAACCTCAACGGTTTTTACCTGGGTGGCTCCCACCTCTCCTATGCCAATGGCATAAACTGGGCCCAGTGGAAGGGCTTCTACTATTCCCTCAAGCGCACTGAGATGAAAATCCGCAGGGCCTGAGGACCAGGGTCTCATCCCTCTCCGGGCTGCCCTGTGTTTCCATAATTGCTCCACCCCGACCCCACCAGCCCCCTGCTTCTGCTGCTTCCTGAGCACCAGCTTCTCAAAGGCCTTGCAACTCCAAGCCCAGGCTGATCCCCATTACACGCCCAGGTGTCCATTTCTAACATAGGCTCTGTTCCTTACTGCCTGAGGCTAGCTAGCCAGCAGCCCCCTAGGCTTCTTCTGAGGCACAGGTGTGCCAGCCTGGATATGGATGGGCTCCATAAAACTGAGTTACCTGGACTCTTTTCCAACAGCTGAAGGCAGGAGCCACCCTCCCAGGGCTGGCTGTTATTCTCCATCTTAGCCAGCTTCCTTTTTGTGAAATATTGATCAGGGGCTACCTGGGGTATGCCAGGCAGCATGTGGATGGCCGCTGCTACCCCCTAACACTCCCTCTGGCTATTCTCAGTCTCCCTCCCATAGTTAGCCTCTCCCTCACCCACTAATCCCCCTATAGTGAGAATCGTTAGCTGTAGCCCCACCTTATTCCCCAGATCCCTGCACAGCCTGTCCCAGCCCCCTAAAGCTCAATGCTGAAAACCGTATTCACCACAGCTATTATATATACCCCTGATGTCAGTTGAGAGCAATGTAAGCATGCAAATGAGTTTCCCCACCTTTCCCCAAGGACTGGAGTTGGGCTATGTAAGGTGGGGAAGGGGGGCAAAGAACAATCTGTGGGGCTGGGTGTGGGTGTGGAGCAGAGATCACAATAAACCTTCAGGACCTGATGACTTGGCTCTGTGTAAACAAACATTTGTCTGCCCACCCCCCCCAAGTGTGGGCACCTGGCTAACGGTGTTCTATTCCCAACTCCAAACATGACACCTGCAGACAGATGTTGAAGAGAACCTTGTATTTCACAGGTCTCATCTTGATGGCAAAAAGATCATGTCATAATAACATTACAATAATAATAAAAATTCAACACTGAAAAGGATTACTCGGGGAACGTTCGGGCCTCCCAGTCCGGGCCTCCCAGTCCTGTTCGGTGGTGGCTCAGGTGGCTGCTTAAGGCTTAAAGGGTGGGTCTGAGATGAACCCGCAGGATAATCCAAGCTGAAGCCTCACCTGTCAGGCCCAGGGCTGCAGCTGTCTGTAACACTCCCATAGGCCCAGCAGCTAAGCCCGCCTTGGTAACAAGTCATACACTGTGGGCCTCAGGGCTCCTGGAGGTCAGGCAGGTCAGCCAGCAACATTGGGGAGTCCATCTGGATCTCACGCTGCAGAGACTCGATGTCGGCAGGGTTCATGCCATGGCCCTCAAGCCAGTCAGCAAGGAGAGAGGCGGAGAGTGAGGCTGAGTCTGCCTGGCTGCAGGGAGAAGAAATCAGGAATGAGGGAAGGAGGGGAGGAGGGAGAGGAACTGCTACCCTGGGCTGACTTGGCAGCATCCCACAGACAACCCCTCCCACAGCCCCATTCCAGGGGCTCAGTACAGCCATCTTACCCATCTGGTGGCCCGTCAGCCACGCCCATGTCAAAAGATTGGTTTAAGAATTCCTCCAGGTCAAAGCCAACACCATAGCCAGCCCCACTGCCCTTTGGGGTGCCTGAGAACACGGGAGGCAAGGGGTCCTCCACCTGCAGGGGATGATAGCATGTTACAACACAGGTGCCATTGAGGAGAGCATCCTGACCTGATGTTGCTGACCACTCTGCCCCTAATATCCCTGAGCACCAATGCTGGCCAGTCTTTCTCCAGGACAGGCACTTTCCTGGCAGTATCTCATCTGCCTCCCAATCACTCCTTGACATAATGCCATGGAAGGGGACCCATTCAGACATAAAGCCCCACCTGCCACTCAGTTTTCATGGAACAAGGGTAATTTTAAGAACATAGATCCAGGTGTCTCCCCAGCCCACACCTCTCTTCTTACCTGAGACTTGGAGAGTTGCTGGGTTACCAGGTTGACATCAGGTGACTCTGACGTGGAAGGCTGAGGGGCCCCACCAGGATCTGGAGGTGGTGGGCCAGGTGGGAAGTAAGGCAGAACTCCTGGGGCATTGGGGCCAGGTAGCCCAGGGGGTGGCACGAGCGACTGGGGGGGCAGGAGGCTTGTGGAGGTAGCAGTCTGGAGTGGGGCAGGAACTGGGATAGGTCCAGGAGGGCCAGGGGGTGGACAGGCTGGCTGGGGTACAGGACCAGGGGTAGAGCCTGAAGGCTGTGGTAGGGGACCAGTGGGTTGAGCTACAGGGCCAGAGGGTGGACTAGTGGGCTGGGTTGGGGCTGGTGTAGAGGTTGGGACTGGAGCTGGGGCTAAGACTGGAGCTGGGGCAGGGGCTGGGGCAGGGGCAGGAGCAGGGGGCCGAGCCATGCGAGTCCACCTCTCCAACAGGCTTCTGTCATTGTCACTAAGCACCAGTCCAGCCAGGGGGTCGGTAGAGGGGCCTCCCAAAGTCCCAGTGCCCCTCTCCTTGCGCTCCCGCTCTTGCCGACGTTTCTCCCGCTCTTTGGCTCGCTCTTGCCGCCTCCGACGCTTCTCTTCCCGCTCTCGCTGGCGCTCCTGGGCTGTCACAGGTTTCCGAGGCTCAGGAGCCTCCAAGGTTGCGCTTGGACCATCTATAGAGAAGTTGGGCAGGGGAAAGATGAGAGCCTGAAGCCCTGTCTAAGCCAGAGTCCCCCATCTACCACCCTATTCCCCAGCCAGCCAGCTATTGTACCCAGAAAGCACCTCTGAGCCGGCTCCGCAAGGACTTCAGCAGGGCAGCTTTGAGAGCTGCCTTGGTATTGTCTGAGATGGCACCTTCTCTCTTTGGTGGGGCAGGCTCACTGGCTGGTGGGGGGGGCTGCAGAGTCAGATCAATGGTATCAGGTGCAGGGCCAGGGCACAGCGGTGGGGCTGGTGGGGGTGACTCCATGGCACAATCACCACTGGGAGCCCAGGGACTGGGCATCTCAACATCTGGACAGCCAGGCTCACTGGCTACAGGCTGCAAGGAAGGCTGGAAGCGGATCTGTTGGCGAATGCCCTCTCGGCGTGCATGAAAGTCTTCAATCTCAGCCACTATGGCCTCCTTAATACGCTCTCGGGTGAGGGCTTCACGATCAAAGGCAAAGTCAAAGGGTGGGGCACAATCAGGTTCATCATCAGGGTCGTGGTACTTGGCCAGGAAAGGGTGACGAAGGGCAGCAGCTGCTGAGATGCGGGCACTGGGTTCAAAACGTAACATTCGGCCCAATAATGAGAGGGCTTGGCGGTCGGCACCTGGATACACTGTCTCCCAGGGCACAGGCTGGCGTGGCGGCAGGCTCTGGATATAGGCCCGAACTCTTTCAGCCCCCACAGACTGAATCACAGCTGGTGATGGAGTACCTAGCACCATCATGATCAGCTGTAGCTGGTGTACATAGTTTTTGCCTGGGAAGAGCTGGCGCCGGGCCAGCATCTCACCAAAGATGCAGCCCACAGACCAGAGGTCGATAGCCTGTGTGTACTCATGGAGGGAAAGCATGAGCTCAGGGGCACGGTACCAGCGAGTGGCCACATACTCGGTCATGAAGTACTGGTGCTCAGCTGGGGAGGTACACAGGCCACGGGCCATACCAAAGTCACCGATCTTGAGCTCACAGTTCTCATTCACCAGCAGATTGGAGGGCTTAAGATCACGGTGGATGACCTGAGCTGAGTGCATGTACTTAAGGCCCCGAAGCAGCTGGTATAGGAAGTAGCGCACATGCTCCAGTGTGAGCGGCTGTGAGGAGTGGATGATCTGGTGCAGATCACTCTCCATCAGGTCCAGTACCACATAGCTGGAAGAGAAATGAGGAAAGAGGCATGGGCTGACCTGTCCAGGCTGTAGGGCCTTACTCTAGGACTCCAATGGGCCAATGACATGATACAGAAGACAACTAGGTTCTATAAACTCTACAACTTTCCCACAAACTTAGTTAAATCACCATTCTTCCCTAAGCAAGTTTCCCTGCCAGATAAAAAGATGGAGCTCGACTAGACCAACGCTAGACAAGTTTAACTCTGGAATTAGCTTATTGTTTGATAGTGGCTGCCCAAGCAAAACTATGGTGAAAACTGGAAGGCCCATCCATTTTCTGTAAGAAAGTATTCTGTGATCAATTAGTGATGTCAGCTATGAGAAAAGAATGTAGTGTTGGTATGAACATCCTATATCTGCCATTCTATATTTTGAGATTCTGTAACATTTGAGATTCTCTAACATCTGTATTCTCCTAGAATAATAATGGCTGTTCCTGGTAATGTCCTAAATAAAGGAACAATGGTACTGGAATCAGGAATTTTTCCAGCCTGTCGCATATTAGGTTCAGTGGCCCTTTTAGAACTTCAGCAAAATAGTCCTGGCCTTCAGAAATGGTTCCAACTATGCCTTTCTCTCCCTTCCTGCTTCTTACACAGATTTGAACTCTCCATAGGGCACAGTGGGCCTTAAGATGTCCTTAATGGCGATGATATTGTCATGTTTGAAGTGTTTGAGGATCTTCAGTTCCCTGAGGGTCCTTTTGGCATTGGTCACCACATCAAATGCATTGGGGATCTTCTTGATGGCCACCTGCTGGCCTGGAGAGCAAGGAAAATGCAGATAAGAGAGAAGTAGCTGCAAGCCCCTTTCAGTGCTACTCTTCTAAGACACAAATGCAATGGACACTGTACTCAACATGTGGCAAGCCCTGTGCACTTCACATAACATCATCAAATCTTACCTTCACAACTACCTTATGAGACAAGTATCAATAAGCTCAAAGCTATAGATGAGTCCCTGGCTTGGAGATGTTGGAAGGTGCACAGCTAGTTAGTGGTAGTCTTGATTCAAATACCTGAATTCAAACTCTCTGCCTACACTCTCCACTTCCAATCTCATCTGTCCTACCACCAAACCCTTGTGCCAGTCTCCAGTTCTACAACACAGTTCTCTTTTGGGCACCAAGGAACAGCTGTCTATTCTGGTCTACTGGAATTGTCATTTTTCTAAAGGGGAAGTAGGTTGATTGGCAAAACAGAGGTCCTGAGAACGGTGACTAACTGTAAGCTGGCACTTAGTAGGGGTTGAGCTGAACCAGAATCCATAGAGCAGCTTCCCTTCCTGGCTGGCACCTCTACAAGTAGCTCAGGAAGCTCACCAGTGAGGCGGCGGCGAGCAGAGGACACCACCCCGTAGGCTCCGTTGCCTATGGTCTCGATGATCTCGTACTCGTCCCCCACGTCAAAGGTCACATCAAAGGAGCGAGCTTTGAGCAGGGCCAGGTTCTTGGCCGTGACAGAGGCAGCGGTGTGAGCG